AAAACAAAACAAACAAACAAAAAAAAACATCTAAGTCAGTTCTTTCCAAGTCCACAAAGAAGTGATCCCACCAAGCCCTTTTTGGTCATGAGCCCCTTTGAGCTTCTTACAGAAGCTACGGGTGATGCTTGCCCAGCAAACCGCACATAATTCCAGGGAACCCATGGACCCCAAGTTAACAACCCCTTGTCTGAAGTAAAATACAAAACCCACCTGTGAGAAGGTCAGGGTCAGCCTGAGACTTGAGCGTCCATCGTCTTCTGCCAAAGTTGGACAAGTAGTAACGAAAGATTTTTTTCTTTTCTTCCGATCATCACCCTCTTCTTCCTTGCGCTCTCTCTCCCTCTTCCTGTCTCTCTGTCTCCTCCTGCACCTTCTGTCGCTTCTTCTTGTTCCCTTCATGTCTCTTCTCTCCCCATCTCTTGCACCTTTTGCACGCCAGATGTTCCGGCCTGGTTGAAGAGCCTGCGCCTGCACAAGTACGCAGCACTGTTCTCGCAGATGACCTACGAGGAGATGATGGCCCTCACCGAGTGCCAGCTGGAGGCTCAGGTATGTGCACGGACCCCACACCAACCTGCACCCACCTTATTCTAGGGACTGGCAGGTGCCGGGCACAGCAGAGGTGGCTGCAGCTGAGTTTCTGCCCAGGGGTCCAATGGGAGACGAAGGCCACACAGACAACCTTTGGGAAGAGCTGGGGGTAGCGAGCATTAGGACAAGACTGAATCTGAGCACTCTCTGAGCTCCAGGGTGCTGAGGAAGTCTGGATTCTCCTGGAAGAAGTGATGGTGGGCCAACGCCCCAAAGAGTCAGCGTCGCAGCTCACCGCCTCTGTCACCCACCTCCCAGGACTTGTTTAAGTAGGGCCAGCGCTGTTGTCTGTCGTTCATTCCGGTCACTTAGCGGTTAGTGACCTTCTAACCGGACTGGACCTGGGGCACCGAGCCGGCCCCCAGACATGCCTTAGTGCTTTTCCAACATTATATCCAGACCAGTCTTAGTCAAGATTGGAGTAAATTGTTTTAAATATTGTTTTTCTCTAGCCACCTCGAATATAGCATGGGGCCGAGATTAAGAATGAGATTTCCCCAGGTCTCAGACTTTCCTCCCCTTCTGTATGTCATAAAAGGACAAAGTTCCTCCTCCCTTCTAAGGCATCTTTCTCGAGCGTGATGTCAAAGGCCTGGTCTACAAACCCCTCAAAGTTAAACACGTCTCCTATCCAGGCTGAGCTCTAGTCCACTGAGCTGACCGACATCCTTGTTTCCCTCGTTTAAAATGCTATTTCCATGTTTCAGGTTGACCTCAGTTTCCTTTGAGCAATTATTTTAAAGAACTGGTGTTCGGAATGGTCTAAGAATATTTCCCCGCAGAAAGGGGAGTGTATGCCCTTGGGGCGGGGCTGGTCTGTGTGCCTGCTCTCCTCTGAGCTCTGCGCTCTCGCTGCTGATGCAGGTCCCTCCATGAACCTCTGTGCGCCTGGCCAAATACCAGTGTTGAGAGGGAGACAAAGCCCAGAGTCGCTGCTCATTCTCAGAGAATGAAAGGCGCCGATTCCAGCTTCCTGACACTCCTCCCGCTGCCTTTCGCATTTGGTCACTGCTTGAGATCTCAGGGATGGATGAGAACCGTTTTTTTAAGAGCGTGTTTGTGTTTGGGTCAGAATTAAGGGGGGAAAAATCTAAGTCATCAGTTGCTGAACTTGAGGAGAAACAAGCACCACAGTGGGCAAAGCCGGGAGCTGGCACCAACTTTTCAGAGTAGTTTAACTCATTTGAGCCCAAAGTTATGGTGACATAGAAACATACCGCAGTATTTTATCTAAGAGAGTGGATTCTTGCATTGCTTGAGACTTACTTATTCTAACTAAGGGAAATGTTGCTGTTATTCTCATCCTCTCTCCATTAAAAAAAAAAAAGATGAAATGGTTGCAAGAGGTCCCCAGAAGTTTTTATTTATTTTATTTTTTTGTTTGTTTGGTTTTTTTGTTTTTTGTTTTTCTTCTGGTACCAGGAATCAAACTCAGGACCTTGCGCTTGCCAGGCAGGCGCTTTATCACTGAGCTATATCCCCAGCCCCCCACAGAAGTTTTTATTAGAAGCCTGATTAGAAAAAGGACCTCCTACTAGGGAACTTGGCATGTCTGCAGTGCACAAGGGTCTGCTGGGATCCTTAGGCTCACAGTCAAGGAGATGAAATCCACAACTCTCAGCCGTGAACCCTAACACTGACCTGAACTGATGAGTGAATTAGGGGTTGAAGTTCATTTTCTATTCTGGTTTTCCTTGTGCAAACAAAAGAAAGCCGTTAAACTAAGAGAACTTGCCTGTCTTGTGACATCCACAGAGACTGTACTGGGCTTCATATGTCCTGAAGATGTGTAAAAAGGATATGCTTAAGGGGACCCGAGAGAGACTAAAATGATGGAGGCAGAAGGAGGGGTGCATGTGACCCCAAATTCAGTCTTAAGAGACTGAAGAAGTTCCATGCTGGCTTCTCTGAAGCTCGCTGTCCCAAAAGTCACATGCAAAAGACACAGGCAGACCTTTAGACAGATGGAGTGAGAATTTAGCGAGAAGTTTAGGGCAGTGGGTACCAGCGCAAGAGACCAACGCATGCTGACCAGCCTGCTGGCACGCATAGCGCAAAGCATACATAAAGTCGTGAGTAGCTGCTGAGAGACTGTGTGAGCTGGCTCTTAAAAGGATATTTGTGAACATAAACTTGTGGTTAATTACAGAATGTTACCAAAGGCGCAAGACACAAAATTGTCATCAGTATTCAGAAGCTCAAAGAAAGACAAAACCTCCTGAAGTCTTTGGAAAGGGTAAGTTATCGGTGGGTGAGGGCACGTTTCTACCTTCACACTTCATCACGGGAAAGTGGGCCAAGGGAAGTTCCCCACAGAGAGTGTTTTAAGCTGTGGCTTCCTTCAGAAACAGGAAGCGATGTTGGAGTGAGGGTTCCAATTGCCTCGTGACCAGCTACCCTAGACCTCTGATGAGGGTCAGGTGCACCCTTCAGTGTCTGTTTGTAAGGAGACAAGGCGAGGAGTTAAATAAAAATTTCATGAAAAGGAAAAACAGACCAGGGAGCATGCAAAGTGCTTCCCTCTTGCCTTCCACTCATGGAGGGTCTGCTTTTGATAGCTGCTACCCCTGCCCGGGTGGCAAAGACCAACAAGGATACCCCAAGTTCCATACAGTGTGGACAAAAGCATCGGGCAGGCAGAGCCAGCCATTTGGAGAATAATTTCAGACTAAATGACAGAGTGGGTCCCCTTGCCTCAGACAGGAACCACCTCCAAAACACGAAAGGCTGCAAGCAGCCTATCCCGCTGTGACAGGTCATTCAGGTGCCTCTGTCCCTTCTTGTGTGCTGTCTGCGCAGCTTCCCCCTTGTCTTGCATTGGGATGGCATCCTGGTAATAACTGTCATTTTTAGGGCTTCGTGACTGTATGATTTCATGTAAGGGCCAAAGGAGATCCGAGTCCCATCCCACACACTGCAAACCTGTGTCACCTCTGTCCCGGCCCTGGGAATCTGTGCCCTGGTGGTGGGAGAGGTGTGGGGGACTCCACAGCTGTTTGCAGCCTCAGAGCAGAGTGACCACATTTCCGTAACCCTGGGAGCTTTAGGAAGAGGCAAAAAATCAAGGCAGGCAAAGCGAAGTGAGTTTAGTGAACACAAACATTTTAATGGAGTGGGAATTTGTTTAACTTATTCACAAAGAAAAAGGGGATGTAATTTTATATACACTACTTAAAGTTACATTTACTACCTGTCATATAACAGTGTTATATATACTCAGAAAACAGTTCCTTTTAAACCCTCTGGGTGGACAGACAAGCAGCGCTGATTAAAGGTGGGTTTTAATTCAAGTGAAGCGCGGGCTCTGAGGGAGCTCGCCAGCCACACCTGAGGTTTTGTTGTTCTTCATTTCGTGCTAACTCCTTTGCCAGCAGCTCTACCAGTGATTGTTGTCATTTTTAATCTCAGAAACTGTTCTCTTTTTGGGGGTCCACCCCAAAGGCCAGTTACTCCGCATCTGTGAGAAACTACAGAAAACAGTTCGCACGAGGAATAGATTGCTAAGTAACTTGGTGCGAGAACGTTTTCCCTGTCTTCCTGCTGGTGCGTCCTCCAGGAATTCATCTGCACACACACACACCCCCGGTCCTGAGGAAACACGCCCTCCTGAGACAGACACTGACTTGCTGTGGTTGTGTCTCCTGCAGCCGTGGCCCCTGTCAGCGTGGAGCCAGGCAGCAAGGTAGTGCGGGTGGCCAGAGGTGCCGTGGCCTGCCAGCCGACTCTGATCAGTCGGTCGTGTTCCGGGTCCTACAGGCACACCTAGAATAATACCAACTCCGCAAAAGTGTTTCCTCTCCATAGTTCCCTAGAGTGGGAGAGAGAAAAGACGCCAAGGGTGTGATGGGAGTGGACGACCTAGAGGAAATCAGTCGGGAGTTTATCCACTGCACTCTTGGACACAGGAAACGCCACCTGTTTGGTGGCCGGTTGAGCTTATTTCAGAATCCCCGACAGTGGGCCGCCCTGCCTGCTGTCCTTTCAGGAGCTGACAGCCTGCGGGGGGAGAGCACTGAGCCCCCAGCCCCAGGGTCCCAGCCTCCCCTCCTATTTGAGAGAGGAGCTTGTTGGTCACCTGTTCCCACGCTGGCGCAGGGACAGACTCAGCCCAGGCGTTGGCAGACAGTGCCTGGGCAGATGATGCTGTTGGAAACGCTGTAGTCACCCCCCTGCCTGCCTCCAGCATTCTTGTGTCACACAGAAGCCAGATTTCTAAGGAGACCTCAGGGACCCCACCTGCAGCCAGTTCGTAATCAGCGGGAGGTGTAGGCGGCTCCGGCCGCAGCCCTTCCATGCTGCACTGAGCACTTGCAATGTGGCCGCTTGGACGCACTGTGCCCTCCTTGCCTGAGTGAGTGACGCTGGTGCCCACCGTGGGCGCACTGGGGTGTGCACTGGTGGTAGCTAATGACCTCACAGTGCAGTGTGACCCGTGTCACCACCAAGCCATGCGGGGACTCTTCTGGGGGTGAAGGAGATGAGTCTGCGGGGTGAGGAGGAAAAGCTGCTGCTGGGAAACTCCAGGGGGCCTTGGTGGCCTCTCCATGGTGGCCTTGAGCCCAAAGGGGTGCAGCAAGGATGGAGAAGGAGGAGGCGGTCATTAGAGGGCACCCGGAGGCCATCAGGAAGTTTGGGCTTGGGTGTCTGACATGTGGGGACAGAAATATAGAAGGGACTACTGGGCGGGGAAGGGGGTTTCAGTCGGATGGGTTGGGACCGAGGGGCTACAGGACCCCTGGGGAATGGCACGTCATGACCAGAAGAGCAGGTCTGGAGTCCACAACACAGCAGGTCTGAGGGACTCGGTCTCTCTCAGGCCATCTGTAATTGGCAGTCAGACCTTCCTGGAAGACCCTAAGGTCTGTCCCTAAGATTCACAAGCACCCAGTGACACTAGCTGTGTGCCCTGAGCCCCGAGCCCCACCCATGGGGTCAGGAGTGTGGGAAGCAGGGGCTCTCCCCAGCGCCAGCGACATGTCACATAGACACGAATGCTGTCGCTTGGAATTGCCCACCAGCTGTCGTGGCCACCGTGATGAGAAGGTTTCGGGAGAAAGGAAGGGGACAGACTCAGAAAGCCACGAAGCAGGAGTGTGGTCGTGGGAGCAGGCCACCGGTACATGGCCAGACTTCTCAAGGGTTTGGTAGAAAAGGAAGATCAGACTGGTTAGTGGAGTCAAGCTTCCAACATTTATGTGCTTTGATATATGTCCTTTCCTTTCACCTCTCCCCTAAAGTGTGAAAAATCTCTCTCTCACACACACACACACACACACACACACTGCTTCTATTTATTTCCAGGTAGAGGAGCAGGGCAGAGGGCTTCTCTGGAAACCCGAGCTTTTTCTTCAGATGCATCCAGACCTGCTCCTTGAGCACAGGTCTGAGACCGCAGTTAGACTGAGTAGCATTAACCGTAAATACTTCCAGTATCCTGAGATGTGATAATAGTAAGGTGCACCTTGTACTTTTTAAAAAACAGTTTTGCACACATCTGTGCGTCAGGGCCTGACAGCAACCTCCTAACGCAGCCGGGACAGCTGCTTGTTCTGAGGGGAGGACACACTCCTGTGTCATCTCTGGGCCCCTGTCACCTGTCCTTTCTGTCCCTCATGCTGCTCACTGCCCCTCTTTTTCTGAACCCCCCCACAGTAGTAGGTGGGGGTCCCTCTTTCCTGTCCCCACAGCTTCCTTCCTGATGACATCATCCCATGGGGGCCCCAGGTATGGTGAGAATTTTATGCTGACAACTTAGGTGTTCTGTGTCCCAAGGGAAGAGCCGGGTCTGGCCAAGGGTTGAGCCTGGCGGCTGCTAGGGACCAAAGGAAAAAAGAGAGCGACTTACGTCACCACAGGTGTCCTGTTAGTGTTGGGAAGCCTGAGGCCAGGGGCATGTCACACCACATGCTGGGAACACTTTGCCTGAAACTCTCTTTTCCAAATGCCTCGTTATTGTCACATGTCAAGGAAAGGCACCAAACCAGCTCCCTCCAAGGCCCAAGAGAGCCAGGCCAGGCCGGGCCGGGTGACTTTGTCCCTCCTGCCGTCCCCTGAGTGATCCGGGTGGCCCGTGCAGACCACATTCCCATTATCCGCTTTCACACGAACCTCCTGTGAAATCAAGGATGCACCACTGCTCACACCCTGGGCTTCCAGCCCGGGCCAAGCTGCTCTTGCCGCCTCTGTGCCACTGCATTTGGCAGGAAGGAAGGACTCTACAGCCCTCTTCCAAAACGCAAATGAGAGCCGGGCATGATGGTGCACACCTGTACTCCCAGCACTCAGGAGGCCGAGGCAGGAGAATCACTGTGAGTTCAAGGCCACCGTGGGCTACCTATTGAGCTCAAGGCCAGCCTGGACTACACAGCAAGACCCTCTCACACACACACACACACACACACACACACACACACGTGTGTGTGTCCATGACAAACAACTTTTTCCCTAATGCAGGCTGAACAGTGGCTCTGGCCAGCTTTGGACACTTCTGCTGGCTAGTTAGAACTGCACTTCCCTCAGGGCTGGGGATGTAGCTCAGCGGCACAGCGCCTGCCTGGCAAGCGCAAGGTCGTGAGTTTGATTCCCGGTACCAAAAAAAAAAAAAAAAAAGAACTACACTTCCTTGATAAAACCTACATGCCAGCCAGGCTAAGGCTCCACTTCAAACCTTCTCCCCAGACAAAGCAGGCTCCTGCCAATGGCAGGGTGTGGCTGCTGGCACCCCGCTGCCCAGAGCTGACACACCCGTGTCCAGGGTGGCCACTGCCCCTTTCCTCTCCGGTGGATTCCCAGGAAAGGCTTGGGTGCCTTGGGAAGCAACTGTATTGTCGAGGTCTGCATTCTCCGACATCCCTGGGAAGACAGGATCCTGGAAATGGCTTGGGTCTTTATACGACAAGCTTGGAAAATTATGGCCTTGCTAGCTCTCCCAAGATTGAGTTCTTCATTAGTAATCAGGGACCCGACTGATAGCGTCCTTCCTGGTCCCAGGAAGAGCTGGACCTGCATGGGGGGGCGGTCACAGAGCCGCATAGGGCTCCACCCCGCCAGCCGGGGAAGACCCAGCCTGACCCCTGCCACACTGAGTCCCTGGCCTGTCCAGACCTGTCATTCCTAGCAGAATCAACTTTGACCAATAGCATCCTTTGACCAGTAAGTAAGGCCGTGTGTATCAAACTGTGCATGTAGATTTTATTTTCTTATGTAGCATATAAGTATGGATATATAGTCCATACATGTGATCAAAAATACAGTCAGTGTTCAAATTTTAAATTTATTACAGTAAAAGATACATTTGTATTAATCCCCCCTCAGAACCCTCCCCTTGCCTCAGACACACTCACCCCATCATTCTTGTCACCTTCTGCAGCAGTTCCGGTGTCCTCTTTCCTGAGTGTCTTTAGTCGCACTGTCTTGGCTGCCTGGATGTGCTGAATTGATTTAAAACGCTTCCCTTTCATGCCACTTCGGTTCTGAGGAAGGGCCAGGTATCGCCTGGTGCCAGAGCCTGTGACGAAGGTGAAGGAGGACCCAGCATGAGGTGGACGTTTGTACGAGCCTGCCTTCCCGTTGGCTGGCACTCGGCAGCATTCGCTGTATTTTGATCACACTTCAGAAAGACACTCAGGAAAGAGGGCTCCAGAGCTGCTGCAGAAAGTGGCAGGAACGGTGGGACGAGTGTTGTGTTCAAAGCCACGGGGAGAATTTTGAGGGTGATTCATGGCAGGGTCTTTTACTGTAATATTTTCATTTTCACTGTATATTTTGATCACAGATAATTAGATATTCTCTTATAATATCACATGAAATGTATTTCCCTCCAGAATCACCCCTTTAAAACTGTCACTTCCCTGCTAAAAACCTTCCCTAGCTTCCGTCCTCATTTAGAATAAATTCTAACATCCCAGTCTCCATGATCAGGCTGCGGACTCCATCCTCCCCTCGACCCAGCTCCACCAGACCCTCCTTGCTGTGCCCCACCCCACAGCCTGTGCCCTCGCCCCCTGGGGTCCCCTCCCCTATTCCACACGCTTATGAACCCTCAGTGGCCTCCTCCAGGTAGGCTGTGAACTCCCGAGGGAGCTGTAGGGGGCGCTCTCACCATGTCCCCAGCTCCAGCGCCCTTAGCCCGAACCTCAACCAGAGTTCATCTCACCGAGCCACGCGAAACACAGCAACCGACAGGGACCCGCGGCTTTACAGCTGCCCCAAATGAAGCGGCTGCCCTTGTTATCCTCGTTTTGTGCACAGAGAAACAGAGGTTCACTCCTTTGTCCAAGGTCACACGGCAGGGCCAGAATTCAGACTTGGGCACCTGCCCTGGAGCCTGTGCCTGGAATCCCTACCCCGTGCTAGTGGCAGCGTGGGCAGAGTGCAGGTGTGCGTGACCCGGGTCCTTTCTTTAGATCAAAGCAGGAGCAAGACACAAGCCGCGCTCTGACCCCAGGTTGTTACCGATTATAAGGTGTGTGAATGTAACCTAAGAAATGCATTTTAGCCCTGGGCCTGGCGGTAGACTCCGTAATTACGGCACTTTGGGAGGCAGAGGCAGGAGGAGCGACTTCTCTACCGGGGGTTATCGGGTGATTTGGGCTTTCTCACTATGCAAATCCAGTTCCCAAGTTTTCTACTGGGCTGATGTCACAAGGAGGGTCCAGTGGCCGCTTTTCCGGGGAGCGCCCTGACTGAGGGGCGGCGGCAGCCAGGGCGGGGCGGGGAGCAGGCCAGCAGGGAGAAGCCCCAAACCTCACGCCGTCTTCTCCTCTGCCCCGCAGGACATCATCGAGGGGGGCAGCCTGCGCGCCCCACTGCAGGAGCTGCACCAGATGATCCTGACCCCCATCAAGGCCTACACCCCCCCGAGCGCCACCCCGGAGGCGCGCCGCCGGGAGCCCCCGCTGCTGGGCCCCGAGAGCCCCAGCCCCGATGGCAAGGACGCGGCGGCCACCGCAGCCACCAGTGCCTCGGCCAGCGCCACCGCGGGGGCCAGCGGCGGGCTGCAGCCACACCAGCTGAGCAGCTGCGATGGGGAGCTGGCCGTGGCGCCCCTGCCCGAGGGGGACCTTCCCGGGCAGTTCACGCGCGTCATGGGGAAAGGTGGGTTCTCGCCTGGCGCCAGGTGAACTCGCATCCGCTCATTCGCAGGCAGGAGGACCGCTCAGGTCCGGGCTCCAGCCTCTCTGAGGCCTGAGCTGGGCGTCCAGGGTCCCCACCAAAGCACCAATGGCCTGGGGGATGGGAAGGTGGGGTGGAGGCGGGGACAGGGTCCTCTCCTGGCCGCTGATGAGAGCAAGCGGCCAGGAGTAGCGGCCGGCCTGGCCACGTGTGTCCGCGTTCTCCCTTTATGTTCCATCCGCACCGCAAAGCGCTCTAGCGCGGAGAACACTGCGTCCTGGAGGCAGCGCCTAACCCTCAGAATTTCACACCCCGCCGCGGTGGAGACTGAGGCACACAGGCCACAGGTGTCTCAGAAGCATGTACACTGTCTTGCCTCCTGCATGCTGTGTCTCCTTCGGCCCAGAACCGGGCCGACCTACCCTTCAGGAAGCCTTAAATGCATCCCATCTGAGTATCATGGCTTGGTAGCTCTTACCCTGAAAGGCGCTTTCACAGGGCCCAGCCTGCACATCTGTAACGTGGCAGCCGTGCCTAGAGCTCTCCCCGCTCACCCCGTGTTCTCCACCTGTGTCAAACTCCCTCATCCTCCAAGTCCCAGCGGAGCCCTCGCCTGGGCCGGGAAAGCCGCCTGACCACGGGCTGAGCAAGGCATCCCTCTCACAGGCTTTCTCTGCCCACCTCACACTGGACTGCAGCCATTCGGGGCTCATCTGTACTCCCATTCACCCACAGCTCCACCAGCCACTTTTCGGGGCCACTGAACACCCCACTGGTGACATGGTGCCCGGACGATGGAAGGAGCCTGCTCCGTGTTCAGTGCTGTCCCAGGCCCCTGAAACGTCCAACACTAGAATATTGCGCTTGATGGGATATTTCACCAGAAATCTTATTTTAAATACGTGGAGAATGCTAGTAGTTTTCCTTTGGAAGGGGTAACAGTTTCTTGTCCAATATCCTGGACTATTTGAAAAACCAAGCTTTCACCAAAAGAAATGGACATCTGAGCTTCAGAGTTGCAAGGAGAAACTCCTCACCCCATAAATCCTTACAAAGGACTTAAATCCTAAGGATCTGGCTCGGAAGGAGTGGGCTCCCAGCTTCCCCGGGGATGGAATGGTCAGAGCAGACCCATTCTCCCCGTGGGCGACACCCACTGAGCATGGGGCTAGTGCCCCTTCCTGAGGTGGCCCTGCCTTTCTGTGGAGCCGTGGTTAATGTTATCAGGTCTCTCCCCATCAAGGTGGTTTTGCTTCTGAGTTTTTGTCCTTACTAACCCTGCTGTACTGAAAACCTGCGTCTGGAGACTGGGACAAGAGGGATTCTGGGCCAGGTTGCTTAGGGCAAGGAAGGAACCGGGATACCATGCCCGGCTGCCCAGCCTGATCTGCTTGGGGTGCCAGACTCGCTCTCTGCCTGACTTCTTTTGTGCCCCCACTTGTGCGGGCCTTGTAACCCCCACCCCAGAGTCAGAGCTGGAGGCCGCAGTGACGAGGACAGAGTGGGCCCCGCACGTGGCCGTGCAGAATCCAGTGCCTGTGTCCGCCACACTCCCAGCACTTCCTCCAGAGGAATACGTACACCGCGTGTGTACGCATGCGCACAGCCCTCTGAGAATGTCACCCCGCGCTGAGTGGCAGGTTTCCTGTGCCGCCCACATGCCTGGCAGTCTGACAGCACCAGCTTCGTGCCTGGGTCACAAGTGCCACGGCCTTGCCACCTGGGAGGTGTGCGTCTGCTTCATTAAACGATGGGGGGCTGCGCCCTGCAGTACCAGCTTTGGCTTGGATGCCCCTTGCAGAGCACAGCCTCCGGCTCTTCCTCTCCTGGTGTCTGTCGAGGCTCAGTACAGAGTGGAATGACAGGAATGAACCCCAGGGGCTCCTGGGCAGGGCTCCCGTGGTGACCAGGCCTTGACTTGAGTGAAATAAGGAATCTCTGGGCCTTTATCGCAGCCCTTACGTAAAGACAGGCCTCAGAGGAAGTCAGCCGAGGTCTGAATGGGCTTGCCTTTTTCTTATTCACCCCTCCCGCTTCGTCCACAGTGTGCACGCAGCTCCTGGTCTCCAGACCCGACGAGGAAAATATAAGTTCCTACCTTCAGCTCATAGACAAGTGTCTCATCCACGAGGTGAGTCACGACCTGCTTCACCGCGGTGCTTCTCCGGGTTTCTGTGATGGGACCGCTCAGGCTCCAGCACATGTTTTGAGGAGCAGGCGGTCATGAATAACAGCTCAGGCAGAACCAGCCGAGGGCAGCCTTCAACCTAAAGGTGACCCTTGGGGTCCCACACCCAGAGCTCCAGGGGCAGTGGGGCGCTGACTGCAGGATCCCTGAGTGATTCCCTCCAGCCTAAAGTGGTTGACACTTTAGGGCACCCCCCCCCAGGCATTACCAGGTGTTCTTCACCCTGAGAATTGAAACATTTCGTCTTTTAGGGCTGGGAGCTGGAGGAGGAAGTTGTGAGCATGTGTGTGTCGTGGGTTGATCATTGTCTGCTATTTGGATTTGTGGTTTTTATCAGATGGAGACTTGCTGTTTGTCCCTTTAAGGGGGACTGAGGCGGGCTGGGGTGGTACCTACCAGGCCCTCAACGTACAGCCCAGAGCTGGGCACGGCTGGGCTGGTGGCTGCTGCTCAGGAACACCTAGGGAGAGAGAGTTGGGCCTCGGGTCTAGGCGTCTGGGTTCCTTGGGCACATACACCCCCCACCATAAACAAGTGACAGAGGCAGGTCTGTGCCCTGGTCTGATGGACCGGCACACGCCTCCCCCTGGGCCACCTCCCTTTCACCATCTTCCTGAGTGTGCCCGGTCACGCCAGCCAGAGCCCTTTGTTGCTACATGAGCATACTGACCGGCTGGTTGGGAGCTCAGACGGGCTATCTTCTGAAATTCTCAACTGTCCCAAAGTCCTGGCTTTTTCACAAAAAAAGTCTTTCTTCACTAACGGTTTCCCCAGAGCAACCCAGCACTGCCTTGTGATTGCCAAAGCCTCCAGTGGGGGATTGTGGGTGCGTTTATTTCAGGAGGTGCTGAGGCGCCCACCCCACAGGCCCAGACCAGCCCTCCGCTAGGTCTAGTCGCGATGCCACCCTCGTGTGGGTTACGCCACGGTGACAGAAAGCAGCAAGCACACGTGGAAGGAGGCCACCACCCCTTCCTTCCGTAGATATTTATTGAGCTTTTCCTGGAAAAGCGACCTGGAACCTGCATTCCCTCCCAGGCCTGCTCTTGGGACAAGGCCCAGCTACTGCAGGAGGCACCTTCCACCTCGCCTCAAGTCATGCAGGTTCTCCTGAGGCCCCTGTTGAACAAGGCAGGTCCCCGTGGGTCGACACCAGCCCGGAGCTTGGCCTGCAAGTGGCATCTCACTTCCTGCCACCCTGCGCACTCCCCGGGCACCTGGTCCCTGTGTCTCTCTCATGGCCTCCCTGGCAGCCCCGAGTGACTCCGTCCACAGATGGCCCTTGTGCCTCACCAGCTGTTTGCTGCAGGGCAGGAGCGAGCTTGTGAGCGGTCTGCTGCCTGCGTTCACGTCCACCAACCGAGGGGCCTGTGCTTGGCCTGGAAGGGAAAAGATGTTCAGGGCTTTGATTAGGTTTCAGTTCAAGGAAGAGCGAGAGTGCCCAGGGGCAGAACACAGCCTCCCCGGAGGAGGAGACGCACTGTCTCCTTCCTGGCTGAGGCCGGCTGTGCTCAGGAACACAGGGCTCCCTTTCACGGCCAGGGCGTGTGTTCCTCAGCTGCATGGACGCAGAGGTGCTGACTGACCAGGAGCCTCCCTTCCTCTCAGAGATGAAGGCACCGCGCCCAGGAGCGGCCCAAGGAGGACGGGCAAGCCCTCATCGGTGTGGCTTCTGAGACCAGCCACTCGGATTCCTGAACTGTAACCCCGAACTTTTCACTCCTCACATGCTTGAGGTGTCTCTGGGAAGCTGGGTTCTTGCACTGCAGGACGCACGGCGGCCATGTTCCCCCAGGCAGACTGTGCGTCCGGGCCTGACGGGGACCCTGGGTGGAACTGGCTGCCTGGTGGTGTCTGGAGAGCCCATCGCTGACTCCCTACTCAGCTGCTCCCTTGCCCGACCCAGGGCTGCCAGCGGAGGGGGCTGTCATCCGATAGTAGGCATCATGGCCATTAGCAGACGCCCAGAAAGGAGCAGAACTCTGGAGACACAGAAGCAACTCTCAGAAGTCCCTGGGCCCGGCCACCCCCTAGCTGCAGCTTTGGTGCTGCCCAGCAGAGAAGAACCGGCCACCTCACTCGCCCAGCCCTGCTGAGGTCCTCACTGATTCAAGGGAGCCTGGTGCCTGCGGTGCCCCGTCAGCTGGTCTCTCTGTGGAACCATCCCCTCTCACGAGGGCCACCACTGAGAGGCCACGCGTGCTGTGGTCCCCTTGGAGGACATCTGTGAAGTGAGCCACTGTCTCCCTTGTCCCTGGGAGGCGCAAGCCAGCTGTTGTCCTGGCTGGCTCCAGACCAGCTCCGCCATACAGTATCGAGACCGTGAGGTCACTTGATGTGTGCTGTGTTGGGGCTGAGGGTCACTGTTAGACACCACATATGAAACACGAGCACAGAACACCCCAAAGGGCAGCTAGCTGGGGCATCCGGGAGCCACGTGTGTGTGTGTGTGTGTGTGTGTGTGTGTGTGTGTGCGCGCGCACGGCACTGTTGCTAGGTGTGTGTTCCAAGGATGCTCGGTGCTTTCTGTGGTGTCTCGTGGCTCCACTTAGGTATTATTATCACACCCAGGTTGCAGGAGGTGTGCAGGGATTCACACCCTCCCCATCTTTTCCAGAACCTTCCCCCCACGCACAGGCTTGGGCTCCTCCCAAGTCATCACGACCAGCACAGCTGCAGCTTGGGCCCTCCACAGCTGGTCCAAACCAGCCATCCCCTCCCTTTGTTGACCCAGCAGAAGCACCTGCCTGCCGTTGTTGCAGGTGTTTGTCATTGGACACTCAGCGTCACCATCAAGTGAGAGAGACCAGGGAGGACCATGCAGCTGTGCAGGCCCCCCACACCCACCCTGGGGCCCTGCGCCTCTTCCTCCAGTGGGGCACTGAGTCCTGCATTTGGGTCGCCCTCCTTGGTGAACATCCTCAGCGGTGTCTGCCTAAAGCCACGCAGGAGGGAGGGGGCTCGCATCCGGAGGACATCGCCGCAGTGTGCTAACAGCTCATTGCTTCTGTCTACAGCGCTGTCCCGTGCTCAGGTCCTTGAAAGATTAAGCATCCTCGGGAGAAAGTTAAACTTCTTTTTAACTCTTCATTTAAGGAATCTGTTTCCTTTTTGGGAAGGAGTCACTTAGTCTGTCATTCTAATATTTATTACTACAGTACTTCAGGGATTTCAGGTCTTATTGACAAGGCCACTTGGGAATGTTATCTCCATCATCGTTCCTGCTAATTGAGTTGGGTGAATTTCCGGAGCACGTGCGCCAGTCCACGGCCCCAGGCACCTGGCAGGGGAGCCCCGTACCACGTGGGGTGTTTATCACCACGCATCTGTGCTCCACCTGCAGAGTCACCAGGGCCCTTGCTGCAAATGCAAGCATCCTGGACCTCCCGCCAGATCTGTTCAGTGAGGCTTTGGGTGTGGGCGGGGTGCCTGGGCTGATTTCAATCTTGTGAATTTGAGAGTCCCTGCTTTGGGGACTCCTGACCCTGGGTTGTGGTGAGCACCAAGGCTCTAGGCAAAGGACACATGACATAGAGATGTACATGGGACAGTGGACAAAACAGACCTACACACCAATTTACTAGAAAGGCCTGAGAAGACATCAGATCTATCCGTTTTCCTAACCTATAGACAAGGTTTAGGTCAGGACTGGCGCGTTGGGGTTTTCTACAGAGCATAGAGCCACTTCACTAAAGATTTCTCAACAAAACTTTAAAATGTAGAGAATCTACCCCATGCCCTGAAGCCCCACCGACCCCTCCAGGGTGACCACACACCATCAAGCAGATTGATTTTTGGAGTGGTTTAGAATTTCCATTGATTATGAAGATGCAGGGAGCCTGCGAAAGCCGGGGTATTCAACAATAAGTCTTGCGATTCATTCCTGGTTAATGACCAAGAATGGTCCAGGAGAGCAGTCAGAGGAGGCGAAGGTGGGTACAGATCTGCCCAAAATGCAGCCAGACGCGATGGCTGTCCGGAGTGGAATGCAGCTGCCTTTCCAGGTGCCTGCAGTGCCAGGTAATGCGAATCTTCCACACAGGTGGCTCCCCGATTACACGGACTGCTGTGTGGACCAGGCTGGAAAAAGATGAAGAAAAAGCAACTGCAAAGACACCCATGTTTTCCCCTATTAATTGCATGTTTCTTCCTCTAACGCCAGGCTGTCTCCGCCATGTAAAACTCCTGTTTGTTTTTGCAGGCATTTACAGAGACACAGAAGAAAAGATTGTTGTCATGGAAACAGCAGGTACAGAAGCTTTTCCGGTCTTTCCCTCGGAAAACCCTGCTGGACATATCAGGATATCGACAGCAAAGAAAGTATGTTGGGGTCTCGTCCTTGGGGATGAACGCTGGTTCCCCAATACCTCACCTGCCCACCCTGGTTCCTGGGACAGGGAGGTAACTGAGGGGACAGCACTCTTGCCCGTGAGGATGCCTTCTGGCCAGTTCCGTGCGGCATCCTTATATGGTGGGGCTGGGGAGAGGCTCTCAGGGAGTGTACTCCCTGAGCGAGAGCTGACGTGGGCGGTTGTAACTCAGTTTGCATTGTCAGAATGATGCTATTCAGGAGAGGAGGCGAGTGTGAGTTCGTGGGTGTCAGCTGAACATGCGTGGCCGACTCACCAAAGGGGGTTCTGGGAGGACAAAAACGGGCTCTTCCATCAGCACCTTAAGTGGTAGTAAAGTTTTTCTCCTCTCTAGCTGCAGACAAGCTAATTATAGTTGGTGGCAGGGTGAAGAGCCCAGTGCTGGTCTATTTTGGTCAGAGCCGCGCGGTCTAAGAGTGGAGCGGTACCATTCTTGATTTTTCATAGTACTTCAGCTTCTCGACTACAGTTAAAAATAAGCCTGCTTGTGCTGAGGACCTGTTCCCTTCCCATGGCCTTAAACTGAGGAATGCGTTTGCATATAAAAGGTGAACTGCAGATTGTCGGGGGAACCGAGCGGGCAGGGGGTGACATGTTGAACAGTGATAGGGAGTCATTGGGGAGCGGGGATGCAAATACCCCCAAATAATCCACATTCCATTTCACACACGAGCAGATAAAAACTTCTTCCCTCGCACCTCAGAGGTTCTGAAATCATTTCATTTCTCAGTGCATATGTAGAAGCTCTGTCATTAAATTCTGAGGCATTTATTTGCATACATGTGCCTTAAAACATCACTGTTTTGTATTATTTAAAGGAGGTAAGACCAGCTGGAGTTTGGGAAAAGTCATCCTGAAAGATTTATTTAAAAATTAGTGCTATCACATTGGCAATCGTTCTTTACGAAACAAATATTTATTTAGCACGTACTGCATGCCAAGCGGTATCCAAGCACTTTAAAGCGACTTCATCCTTGCCACAACCCTATGAGATGGAGCTGGTGTACTGAGCCTCGGTCTACAGATGGGTTGGTAGGTGGTGGTCACGGGCCAGTGGCAGCCCTGGACCGAGGCTCCTCATCACTGCGGAGCCAGGCGACGCTCACAGCCCCGGGCCAATGGGCAGGAAGAGTGGTTCCAGTGAAGCTATAGCCGGCTCCCTGGCCCAAGCCCTCTGGGACCGCCAGCCCTGGGGGCTGGGGCAAGGCCACTGCCCTGAGGATGCCCACTGCTCCAGATGGGAGGCAAGGCCGCGCTCAGATACGTCACTCACCTAAGGGGAGGAGGCGCCAGCTCTGCAGCCCCAGGTCCTGGGGATGCGAGTTTCAAAAGGAAGGAAGCTTTCAGAGGCCGAAGTCAGAGGCAGCACTTTGAAACTCTTTGCACCTCCTCTCAAACTTCCAAACCCTAGCTCTGTCGGCCCTGCGTGTCCTTGTGCCACATCAGAGAACCCTGCTGGGGGGTGGCATGGGCAGAAGTCACCCCGACCTCTCCAGGGCATCATCAGCTGCGGCTTGGACTGGGCTCGCCCACGGCGCTCCAGGTCAGAGTCCTGATGGATCCCTTTCTATTGGCAAGAAAGGATGGGTTTGGTTACTAGTCGTGGATGTTCAGCTGGATGTTGGGAACACCTTGGAAATTGTCCTCCTAAGTATTTCCTCTGGGATCTTCTTATGCTAGTACTTTGCTTGGAAAGACCCATTTCTCCAATAACACAAAGGTAACTGCGGCCCAGCCTGTGCTGGAATGATTGCAAATCCCAAATTAATTGCTTCTTATTAATGTTGTTCTATCTAAGACTTTTCATGCACCGCAAGGTAATGGACTCCAATCGATCTGGAGAGGCACAGAACAGGAGCTTGAGAAAGGGGAGTTTTCCTTTCTCTCTGTTTCTTCCCAGGAAAGCATGCATATGTCATTAAGCTTAGTGATCTTAAGAAACCCAGGCATTTGTGCTAAGTGCCTGGGGGTTCTCAGGAAATCACAGCCCCTCCCCAGAATGTCCTGCTCCCTGTCCTAAATAGCTAAGTCCTAATTCTAGGAGTCCTAGGGTCCCTCATTTTCCCAGTGACCAGCCCGGCACAGAATCCTCTACACATTATATTGCTTAAAATGTGTCAGACATGGTGGCACATGCCTGTAATCCCAGCACTTGACAGGCTGAGGCGGGAGGAGCTCCTTGAGCTCAAGGCCAGCCTGAACTACAAAGCAAGACCCTGTCTCAAAAAAAAAAAAAAAAAGCAGCCTTTCTGGAAGCACACATCCTTTTAGCAACTCATTGACTGCTGTGTTTTGCATATGAAATAACTTTTTAAAAATCCAACCAAAACAGAAAGTGAGAAAAAGCTATCCATGCTAAATAAGGAAAGATCTTAGCAGAGTACTGAATCAGCTACCAGGTGGCCAGACTCCTGACTTCAGAAACCCACAGACTGGTTCTCAGGTTCAAGCACCACACCTCCCCCTTGGACCCCCGCCACCTGCACAGCTGTCTCAGAGTGTCCTCCTTCCAGAGGAAACTGTGACCACTGGAATCACTTCTCCCGCCCCTGGCCTTCACCTCTTCGTTCACATCGAAAATCTGCAGCCTCTGTGAAGAGCAGGAAAGGCGGCCGGGAGAGAGGGTGAGACCCAGCTCTCAGCACAGAGAGACCAAGAACCTGTGGAGGTGAACTTCCGGCCGGAATCCAGAAGTTTCCTTGGCCACAAAAGCCTGAAGTGGAAAGACAGACTGGAATTCTCTTCTCTGCCCCTTCTCTCCTAGGAGATTTAGGAATGCTGAGGAGAAGAGAAACATTTGCTGAGCTCCAAAGCCCCCTGCCCTGACACGCGCACTTACGCACCCTCCTCCTCAGGAAGTGACTGCTTGCGGGCCGCTGGCCCTGGGAAGCTCCACGCAGAGCTACTACGTCACTGTCTGCGGGATCTGCCCGGCCTGCTGGAGCTGCCCTGCACCAGTCAGGCCGGTCTGCTCCATCTAGTGGCGGCCAGCAGGAGCGCGGCCCAAACCTCAGAGTGACTAAAGCTGACTCTTTTGGAAAGAATGTGCCGGTTCCTGAAACCCCGCTGGCCTGCAGCCTCCCAGAAGCAGGCCTGGTGGAGAAGCCGAGTTCTTGAGCGCTGAGCTCACCGGGCCCGGTCAGGGGAGTGTGCAACCGCCTCAGCCCTGTGAGGCCCCTCTGCAGGGAGGGCCTGGCGTGGGGGACAGGCGTGTCCCAGGCCCCGGGCCCTGGCAAGCACCATCATCTGCTGTCCCCAGGACGGGGCCTGCTGCCCCTCTGGACAATCTTGTGGTGGTAGAGACTGGTCAGGCGTTGTCTCGCTTGTCCAGTGGCTGAAGTTACCCAGCAGGAGCTGATTGGGCTGTGGCCACCCAGCGTGGAGGGGGACGGCACAGCCACTGGGCCTTCCCTCCCGTCCGTGGGCCCGACCCGGGGCTGCTCCCAGCTCGCTGCTCTCTCGGCTGAGGGCTCTGGAAGGGCAACCTGCCCTCACCCACACCCCGCTCCCTAGGAGGGACGAAAGGGTACAGCTGCCGCGTGACAGCTGTGGAAGAAGGCAGGCGAGGATGGCCGCTTAGCCTGCTGGGCGCCTGTCCCGGGCTGCCCCCTGCTGGCAGTGTAGCTTGGCAAAATTATTAAGCTCTGTTTCTCTTCTCTAGCTGATCAAAGATGACAGTAAATATTAACACATTTTTTTAATTACAGTAAAAAAAATATGAATCCCCTTCAGAGCCCTCCCCCTCACTCCACACACGCTCATCCCATCGTTCTCGCCGCTTTCTGAGGCAGCTCTGGGGTCCTCTTTCCTGAGTGTCTTCAGTTGCGCTGTCCCGGCTGCCTGGGTGTCCTGAATCCACTCAGAACGTTTCCCTTTCATGCTTATTTTGACTTTGGGGAAAAGCCGGAAGTCGCACCATCCAGACCCTTTGAACAAGGTGGAAGAAGACGCAGCGCCATGTTATTTACCAGAAATTGTTGTAAACAGTTGACCGATGAAGTGTGAGCAAGAAATAGTGAAAAACTTAAAAACCGCATCCCACGAAAAGACACACTGCCAGCCTACCCCCCACAGAACTCTCCGGCTCTTTGACACACTTAGCCCATCACTGTCGGCAATGCCTTTTCCTGTGATAAGGGTGTTTTCAGTGTAGGTGTTCACCATATTGTTTGATCACTCTTGTCCGCCCTCCGGCCGAGGTCTAGGACCAGCCCCGGGCTGCTCCACGCAGCTGCCACGCCCATCATGGTCTCTGCCCTCACTGCACCAGGGCTCGGGAGGGGGCGGGGCCAGGAAGGACTGACGTCTCCACTCTGTTGCTCTTGCAGCCGCGGCTTCGGACAGTCCAACTCCCTCCCGACGGCCGGCTCTGTGGGCGGCAGCATGGGCCGCAGGAACCCGCGCCAGTACCAGATCCCCTCCCGGAGCGTCCCCTCCGCCCGCCTGGGCCTCCTGGGCACCAGCGGGTTCGTCAGCTCCAACCAGCGCCACACTGCAGCCAACCCCACTATCATGAAACAAGGAAGACAGGTTGGTTTGGTCCCCACGGGCCGGGAAGGTCCTTCAGGCCTTCTCCCCAGATGACCCCTGCCACACACCGCAAGCCATGGCTGTGCCCAGGACACGCTATACCATGTTAGCCTCAGAGGATAGCGCATGATGCCTTTAGAAAGGCACACAAGACCTGTCACTTCTTTGCTTTGACCCCTGGCACCCCCAGCAGACCTCGTCTGTCCCAGGTCTGGGTACCAGAGGCCCCTGAACACCCAAGGAGCTTTCTTTTTTTTTTCTTCTGTTTTGCAGCACTAGTGATTGAAACCTGGGCCTTCACACTGAGCTCCATATTGACATCCCTAGCCTTTTTGATTTTGGAACAGAATCTTGTTAAGTTGGCCAAGCTGGGCTGAAACTTGCGATCCTCCTGCCTCAGCCTCCCAGAGTGCTAGGATCGCAGGCGTACACCACCACGCCTGGCTTCTTTGCCTTTTCATCTGTGACAAATAGCTCTTTGGTCAAAGTAGTCCGCTGTGAGTGAGAAGCTACGGGAGGAAGGCTGAGAGGCCATCTGGGACAGTAGTATGTCCCCAGCGGGTCATGGTCAGGCTAGAGCTGGCCTCACTGTCCCACGGCCCTGCTGGCTGGCACTGGGATTAGTGAGACACAGACAGTCTGAGGCTCAGGGTTCTCATGGGAAACAAGGGATGAGGGGTCATCCCACCAGAAAGGTGGTTTCCAGGGGAACAGGCAGGATCCCCCCCAGGGGAAGCGCTCTGCAAGCCCCCAGGCGGGGTCAAGGGGAAGTCACTGCAGGAACACAAGCTGCTTGGGGCAGCCTATTGCTGCTCCGTTCCGTTCTTCCTCTCCCCACTGTAAACTGCAAGCAGCTCTGAAAGAAAACGGACAGGAGGGCTGGGGATTTAGCTCAGCAGCACAGCGCCTGCCTGGCAAGCGCAAGGTCGTGAGTTCAGTTCCCGGTACTGGAAAAATACCAAAAAAAAAGAAAACCCACACGAGAGCCTTGAAACAGCCCGAGCTGTTCCTTGCCAGCATTTCCCCTCATCCCTACTTGTTAGAAAAGTGACAGGGAAGGGTGACATGGGAGTAGAGTGGGTCTGGAGGGCCTGGCAGAGAGTGAGCGAGCCAGGCCTGGACCAAGCAAGGTGGATTCAGCGGCCCGACCTCCCTACACCCCGACCTCCAGGCCTCGGGAGGGGAGCCAGAAGGTCCTCCTGGGGTCTCCGCCCCCCGGGTGCCTGCTGGGCCCTGCACCCTGCCCCTCCCCGGCGTCTGGACTGGCAGCCCCCTTTTTCCTTTCTCCTAGAATCTCTGGTTCGCCAACCCCGGCGGCAGCAACAGCATGCCCAGCCGCACACACAGCTCCGTGCAGAGGACCCGCTCGCTGCCCGTGCACACGTCTCCGCAGAACATGCTGATGTTCCAGCAGCCAGGTACGCGCCGCGGGGCTCCGTGCCCTTCCTCGGGCCTCACGGGCGGGGCTGGGACACCAGAATGGGCTCCCCGCTGGCCCTGCAGGGAAGGCTCAGCCGTGCGCGCGTTCTTGGGAGCCAATGGGAGTCTTCCCTCCTTTAACTGCACTAACGGCTGCTTGGCGGGGAGTGGGCACGCAGGTCCGAGCCCTACGATTGGATGGAGATATTTCGGATGCTGTTCGTATTTCTAGTTTGATGAAACCAGAGGGATGCCTGGAGGGTTCCCTAGCAGGGAGGGGTGGAGGGTGAGACAGGGAGAAAAAAGTGGTGATTGGAGAACTGTGATCGCCACGCCTCCCACAGCAGCTGGGATCATGTGTGGCCATCAGACCACTGCGGGCAGTGACCTCAGAGAGCCACAAAGCAGGCGCTGCACATCCGGGGAGAGGCGTGGAGGTGGAAAGGGGGCAGGCAGGTGACAGGAGGCAGGAGCCCAGGAACCAGAGACCAGAGCATCGCAGCGCCTGTCAGAAGCCAAGCCAGCCGCAGGGACCAGGGGAGCTGTTAGAAGACAGCTGGGTGTGGGCTTTGAACCCGAGCTCGGAGCTCAGACTCCGGCTTCCTCACTGCGGAACCCTGGGAGGTTCTGAGCCGGAAGTGGAGAGGTGGTGGTCCGCAAGGAGAGGACCCACCCGAGGAAGGCCGGCAGCTACACCGTGGCCTTTTCTGTCCTTCCTACCCGCTTGTTCTTGCCTGTGTCTCTTTGCCCATCCTCCTCCCTGTAGCTCCGCCGTGTGTCCTCATCTTCCTTGAGAAGCCCAGGCTGGGTCACTCTCCTTCTAAGACCAGGCTGCCGCCTAGAGCTTTGGGCCTGTTTATCATCTCCTCTCGTTTCACATCAGCGCCAAGCAGCGAGGGGTGGTTCTCACCTACCTCGTGAGAGGCCTCTCGTTCCCATGGGTAAACACTCCTGTGACCTAGCGGGGCCTCTGTGGCAGGTGACTGTCCCTCTCCCCCACCCGCCCTGCCCACAGCGCTGTGTTCGGGCAACCATGCCGCTTGTTTTCAATTGTTCTGCAGAGCAGTTGCCTCCGGGCGTCTGTATACATTTGCTTTACACGCAGAAGGGAGACTTCTGAAGTGCTTGGGGTTTTGTTTGTTTTCAACAAATCCCTTTCTCAATCCCTGCAAAGCCGCCTCCAGCCAGGCCTTCATGAACTGCATGCGGCGTTTCTCATACTAGCCCGAGCACAGCACCACGGTGAGTCCAGGTTCCTGAGTGCAGATACCCTGATTGGTGCCCCAGAGCCTCCCCAAGATCCGCTCCACGCCCTCTGCACCATGCTGGGCAGCTGCTCCTGGGACATGGCCAGGAGCGCCAGGACTCAGGACCCCGGAGAGAAAGGAGGCTACAGAAGTCTCTGCCAAGGGCGCTGCCCCTTGCCTTCGTCCAGACTGCAAGTGTGTGCCCTCCCTTGCCAATCTGGCATGGCTATCAAGACCAGTGTCACCGTGTGAGCTTCCTCTGCTTCCAGAAGCGATGGCCTCCTTCCCAGGGATGGTGCCTCCAACCTTCGTGTTCCAGCACCCAAGACTTCCAGGGGCCGGGGCCAGACCAAAAGTACCTTATCAGAATGGCAGAGATTGGGAAGACAGAGGGGCTTTCATGCTTTCATCGTTACACAGGGAGGTGTCTCAGGAAACATAGTCTGTAAGATGTGGAGCTGGGTGGGGTGGCGCATGCCTGTAAGCCTAGCACTCGGGAGGCTGAGGCAGGAGGATCGCTCCAAGTTCCAGACCGGCCTGGCTGCACAAGACCCTGTTTTGTTTTGTTTGTTTAAAGGAAAAAAAAAAAAAAGAGGGCTGTGTGACCAATCCAAACGTAAATGCTTGGGAAACAGCCTAAGAGTAGAGGGTAATGATTTTACCTCACCCTCAGATGCCGTTTTAAATCTCATGGGCAAATCCTGAAGACGGCTGTGCATTCAAGGCAAGCGTTGATTCTGTAAAGTTAAAGACAGTGCCACCTTGGCGGGCGCCCTTAACTATCTCCAAAGAATACAGGGCACCCTGGGGACCAGAGCGGCCTCCACTTGCAGATCAGTGATCGGCTGCCCTGCTCGCATTCCCAAGATGCTTCCTTCTTCCCGCCTCTGCACGGTCCGAGGGCCCCTGGAGGCCCCCGGGTGGCTCTTCACTTTATCCCCACCTGAAGAGCTTCTGGCCCATGCCGGGGCCCAGCACGAGTGATAGCGGTGACCACAGTGTCTTGCTTGCCTGGCCAGGAGTGAGAAACACTCAGCTGGGCCCCCTGAGGGAGGAGGAGGAGGCCTGCGACACCCACCCAGGGGGTGACATGAGCTTGAAACCGGTGTGGGACCCAGCGAGAAGGGGCGACCCGGCCGGAAAGGCCTCTGGAGCTGCGTGGAGAGTGGCCCTTACCTCGCAAGCAGCTCGGTCCCCTTAACCCAGACTCAGTTCCCCTGCGATCCAGACAGGCAGGGTCCTCACGGCTCCGACCCACACCCAGAGGCCACCGAGGCTCCCCGCCCCGCAGGGGCTGATGGGAAAGACAGAGAGGCGAGCGCAGGCGTCAAAGGAAGCCACCGGAGGGCAGGTGGAGACCGCGACCTTCCCCGGCCCGGAGCCACGCGCAAAGCACTCCTGCTCCAAAAGCCTCCACATTGGAGTGCGGCAGACCTGCGAGCACAGGGCGTGGGTGCGAGTGCGGTGCCCTCCAGAGAACAGCCCTGAGGAAGAGCGGACGGCACAGGCTTTTCCTCCACAGCTCGTCGTGCTCAGGAGGCCGCCGAACAAGAGCCGTTCCCCCGATGGCCACCTCCAGGGCACAGTCCGTTACACCAACAGTGGTGCCTGGACGCTCTCTGGGACGGGTTACTTTTGTCAGCGTCACGCCCTCTCCCTTTCTCCGTCTCCCCTTCTTCCTTCTCCTTTCATCGTGGTGGTCCGCACGCCCAGCCCCTGCCAAGTGTCCCGCCTTCCCTGCTTTCTCTCCTTCAGGCTTTCTGGTTACTCAACAGAGCAGGCTCCGTGTCAGTGGCAACTTTCTCGTTGCTAAGACACAAACCCGACGCCCACAACGTAAAGGAGGAAAGGCTGATTTTATCTCAGTCTCACTTCACGGTCAGTCAGTCAGTTCCAGGGCAGAGTCGGCATGGCAGAGGGGCCTGGTGGAGGAAAGAGGCTCACCTCATGGTGGCCAGGAAGTGGAAGGAAGGGAGCAGACAAGGAAGGGACACACCCATCCCCAGCGTCCCACCTCGTCTGACCAGAGACCTCATCGGATGAGACCCGGCCTCTGAAGAGCAAGTCAGCCTGAACCCCTAATCCAGTCACTTTCCAAAGGCCCCTCCTACAAGCCTTTGGGGGACATTCTTGATCCAGATCGTACCACCACTGCCTGCTGAATATCCTGCATCCAACATGCTTGGGAGCGGAGGGTTTCAGAGATCAGTGCTTTGGATCTGGAAATATTTGCAGACTTTACCAGTTACCCAAACCTAATCTGAAAACCTGAACTGCTTCAGAATCTGAAATTTTGGGCTGGGGATTTAGCTCAGTGGCACAGTGCCTGCCTGGCAAGCGCAAGGTCGTGAGTTCGATTCCTGGTACCGGAAGAAAAACAAAAACAAAACAGAATCTGAAATTTTGGAGCATCATGTCTGTGCGCACACAGCTTCAGATCACAGATTTGAGGTTAGGGCTGCACAGCCTGTCCTCGGAGCTGCTGCGTGAGCTGAAGAACCGCCCCGCTTTGACACCAAGAGGAGGCTCTTTCCCCTTTGCCTCGCTGAGAGCTCACAGCTCTGTCTGCCTGGGCCGTCCCAACCAGGGCGGAATTCATGACAGGAGCCCTTGGGTGTAGCAGTACTGATAGCAGAGGTGGCCTGGCACCTGGTGTGGGCCCAAGGGAGCTGCCTGACCCCCCTGTGTAGCTTTGGCAAGAGCTTTGCACCCCCAGCCGCATATGGCTGAGGCTTGTAGCCTGCGATGGAAGCTGCCATCCCCCACCTCATCTCCCTCTGTCTTCTGTGCACGGCGAGACGCCATGGGTCTGTTTTTATCAAATATACAATTAAAAAGTCACACTATTAGGAAACTCTGCAGTGGGAACATATGGGCTTCTCCCGAGAGTTAGAATTTCTCAGAGCCGCTCGGAGAGTTGGGGGGGTCGCAGCTCCCCAAGTGCAGAGCCGGGGACGCCGAAGCTGGCTCACCAGCTCACCCTCTAAAAGAGCAACCGCCGAGGCTTGGAGATTCTGGAGCGGAGAGCCCTGCGATTCTCAGCCCCCTCTTTGGAACACACAATCCCAGGCTTGGAAAACGGCACTTTGCTGCACATTGGCAAGAGATCCTGCAGCTGAGACACTTCTCTCCAAATGTCGAGCATCTTTATTTATCCAAATCTCTCCACAGTGTTTGTTTAAAGGGGAGCGCTAGAGAGTAAACGAAATCTTACAATGAGCATATGGATGGCTATAATTGCTGAGGTTTGTTTTTTCCCTCATATTTGCTAACTAGCTATATATAAAGTTGTGTTTCTATTTTATAGGTTTCACACCCCGAAGGCTGCTAATTTTTCCATGCATATGATTTTCACATGAATGGATGAAAATACGAAAATACTCTTCCCTCTGGGATTGTCAGGTTGCCCCAACCTCCCTCCCAGCAGCAACTAGTGGGTGGGGGCAGGAGAGGCTCCTGCCCTTGTCGCTGGCTCCCCGCTCCCCTGGGAAGCACCCCTGGTCCCAGCTGCTCAGGAATTGGCCAAGCCATCTTCCAAAACCCATGGGTACGGAACTCGGGGCACAATGCTCTCGATGCCTGCCCTATCGGTCCATTTTGCCGACCTTCTCTTTGAGAATTGTAAATAACGCAGACTGCATCTGCCTCTGAAGTAGGTGGGACGCACAAATTGCTGAAGAGCTTAAGTCAAGGGAAACAGATACTTCTCTTTAGCCATTGCTTTCAACCAAACCACTAACCTCGTTCATGTGCCCCCTGGTGGAGGAGTGAGGAAGCCTCCAATGGCCTGAAATGGGCCCGGGGAGTTTTCCCCACTTGTTTTCCAGGGGAGCAACTGAGGCCTGAGGAAAGGAGCAGTGTGGCAGGGCCACACAGGAAGAGAGAGGCAATGCTGAGACTTCACAGTCCCCTGGGACACACTGGGGCCGGGCTTTCTCCTGCCTCCCTCCACGGGGCTTAGCTGGCAGGATTCCCCTTCTGACCCACGTACGCAGGCTGTGAGGAAATTATACAGTGACTGTTCCAGTGTTTAAAACTGTAGTGCAGTGAGTGACATCGCTCCCGCCGCTTCCCACGGCTCTTGCCACTTTCTGCAGCAGCTCTGGAGTCCTCTTCCCTGAGTGTCTTTAGGAAGCACGATCAAAAACACAGTGACTGGGGCTGCTGAGTGCCATCCAGCAGCAAGGCAGCTCGTAAAGACGTGATGCTGTGTGCTCATCCCCCGGCACCATTCCACATCTGGCTGTTCCCCAGAGGCAAAGTGACCGTGCAAGGCAAGCATTTTGATCAGCTCAGGACACTGCGGCTGCCAGGAGAGTGCAACTAAAGACACTCAGGAAAGAAGACCTCAGGAGCGCTCCAGAAAGCAGCAAGAATGACAGGATAAGTGTGTTTGAAGCCAGGGGGAGTTTTGAGGGGGATGGGTAGCAGTGTGTCTTGTACTGATAAAATTTTTAGAATGTAAACATGCACCATATTTTTTATCACCCTGTGTATGGATCAGGCAGGGCCCGGGGCTGGGCGTTACAGGAGGTGTGAGATAGTACGATGTCTTTGCATCTATGAGACGCGGCCCAGGAAAGATGCTCACAGGCCCTTGGGGTGAGGGGCAGGGCTATGCTACAGTGAGGGCCCAGCCGGGAAGAGGATGGGGCTCCGGGAGCTGCCCCCCAGAGGGAGGGTACAGATCGCCCTTGCAGGGCATCTCCGCCCTTCCTGCTGCACTACCTGAGGCTCAGGAGGGTGACAGTCACTCACTGTCACCATGGCATGCGGGAGGTCACTGGCTGTGGAACAGACCCAGGTCTTGTCCCCACTCCTCATTAGCTGGCTGTCCTTGACGGGTGACCCGGCCTCTCCGATCCCCACCTGGGGGCTGGATTTGCCAAGCACTCACAGGTGTCTTCCTACGCGCTCCTCTAACGAAGCAGAAATGCACTAGGCCTGACCTGGGCGCCGAAAGCAGAGCTAAGTCTGCCATGTGTGTGTGTTTGAGTGGAGGCTACGAGGAGAAAACAAGGGAAAGAGTAATGTGCAGGGGGCAGGGGCAGGGGCAGGTGCTATACCACTCGCATCTCCCAAGAGAGTCCTTTCCAAGGAGACAGCAGAGCCTGCCCTGCAAAGGCGGGAAGAGCCCAAGCCATGAGAACATGTGTGGATAGCATTTGGGCCAGAGAGAGCCGTGAAGCAAAGGCCCTGGGGTAGGAGAGCACTTGGGAGGGAGCAGAGACAGAGTTTAGGAGGAGGGAGGTGACAAGAGGCCAGATCCCATGGGACCTCACGGGCCTCAGCCAAGGTTGGCTTGTGCTCAGCTGGGTCGCTGCTGGAGCGTTCTGAGCAGCAGTGACAGACCATGACTATGAGCTGCTATTTTTATCTCCGGTTTCCTTCCAGCACCTGTAGCCACAGTGCAGGGTCTAACCGACCCCAGGCAGTGGTTGAACCTGCGGCAACTTGTCCTTCATGCCGGCCCTGATGCTCCCACTGTGTCCCCCTGCGGAGGCCCTCACCCGGCAGGTGCAGCCACGTGGCAGCCTGCATGCCCTCTCCTGTCCGAGTCCTGTCACCAACATAATCCTTTGTCCCTGCAGAGTTCCAGCTTCCCGTGACCGAACCGGACATCAACAACAGGCTGGAGTCCCTGTGCCTCAGTATGACCGAGCACGCCCTGGGAGGTGAGCATCCTTCCGCATCTTCCTCACGGGCTGCTGCTGTCTGCACCCTGGCGGCAGCGCGGGAATGGGAGGGGGACATGGAGGGCTGGCAGGGACAGAGAGAAAGGGCAGGCTTGGATGGACCTGCATCGGGCCACGTCCCTCCGCCTGGCTCTCTGCACTGCTCCCCTCTTGGGGGCCTCGGGGACCTGGAGACCAGAGACACAAGCTGTCCCCGACCCCAGCAGCTCCGCGCCCCGTGGTCCCAGCCAACGCAGGGAGCTGGAGTGGCTTTCAGTGGGAACGTCCGCCGCAGCGCTGGACACTTCCCTGCTCGGCACTGGGTCCCCAAGGCCCAGCAAAGCACAACCCAGTGTGCTCTAAAAATAGCTTTTGAAACAAAGATCCCTGCTTGTTTTGCTAACTCCCTGTAGCAAGCGGCTTGGGTGACACCTGGAGCCCCAAGCAGCCTGCGCCATCCCCCAGTGTGTCACGAGGACAGGTGAGACGCGCCTGTCCCCAGCCAAGCCAGGAGCACTGGCTGGCTGTGCAGGGCCGTCCTGGAGGCCCTCAGCGCCCCCTGCTGCTAAGCCCGTGCCTTTGCCTTGCTGCGTATTTGTGGGCAGGAGGCAGGCACGGGCCGGGAGAGAGGTCCCCCTTTTCCTCAGGACTCTGAGCCTTCTCAGCCCTCTCCAGTCTGCTCCCCACCCCAAGATGGGCCGGCGCCCACCCCGGGCTGAGCCCTGCGCCCTCTGGCAGGGCTGAACAGAAAGGCTGTTATCATCAGCTTCCACTCCAGACAGCTCTGTCCCCCAGACCTGGGGCTTTTCGATTTTTAGTCCCTGAAAACACAATCTTATCCTGATACCAAATATGAAATAGATAAATGTTCTGCATGGAGCAGAGTGGAGGTCTGGGGTGACAACCCCAACTTGACCTCAGTACCAAGAGGGGCCAGAGCCCTCATGACGACACAGGGCTTTGGACCAAACAGGTGGAGAAAAGACCCAGCCCCCTCAGTGACTCCCCCCCGCCCCCAGGGTTCCTGGGAACCCGATCTACAAACCACTGCGCTCTCCCTGGCCACTCAGATCCTAGAAGTTTTGCAGCTTCATTGGGCCACGTGTGACCGTAGTGGCTGCCACTGGCTCGGCTCCTCTGCCTTACCGAGAGGACTGGGTCGGCTTCCACCCCCAGTGAGTCCTGGGAAGCCATGCAAGGGTCCATCGACAGGTGGATAGAGGGACCAAGGAAACGTGTAGCCATACAGCGGAAGAGCCACCGTCAGCCTTAAAAAGGAAAGATGCCCTCATCCTGCCACCGCATGGACACGCCTACAAAACACGATTCTGTGCACCACGCCGACCACTTAAGAGGCCAGTGTCTGAGCCCATTGGCATGCCCAGGCTAGGTCTCTACATACAGGGACAGAGCACACATTAGTGTCGCCGGGGCTCGTGAGTCCCCACGCTGGCCTCCGCGGGAGTCCTGCCCCAGGAGGGAAGGCCCTGAAGGCCACATGCTCAGGCAGCCAGTGGGATGGGCTCCGGCTCTGTGGGGTCAGCGGGGCCACGGCCCTTGTCCCTGGAGTTTGATGCAGCTCTGATAATTGGCATTTTGGAAGCTCTTATCAAACTGCTGAGTCCTAACATTACCGTCATTAGTAGCTAGAGTGCCAAACGCTCTTTAGAGAGGGGAGGTCATCGTGGAAAAGGCTCCTTTTTTTTTTAAGCCTGCTTTTCTGTTTTTACAGAACGCCTCTCTGAACTGGTGGGGTTTTGCCCATATTGTCATCTTGTTAATCTCCTAAGCCTTTTTTATTGCTGTGGGTTTTTTTCTCGATAATCCCCTCTGTTGGGAAGTTGTATAAGCAGCTTCCTGAGCAGGGGATGCAAATTCAGCTCAGGGTGCAGCGCTCCACTGGCCAGCCCCTTCCGGTACGCAGGGAGGAAGAGCTCAGGCGGACAGAATGCCAGTGGACTGTCATTTTACAGAAAGACAAATGACCGGGGCGGGAAAACAAAGGAAAGGCAGATTTCTACTTGCAATTCGGGAACGAAGAAAGAGGATGTCGAGGTCTTGGGAGATCGCATCCCAGGACGGCCGCTCTAGGGGAACCCCCAGGTCCTGTGTGCCCATAATTTTGGGGCTGTTCTCAGTCTCCTCCAGTAACTGCTGCCCTCCTGGTGTTTTCCTTCCCCATCGCTTCTCCTCTCCCTGAGGCCCCTCCAGCAGAAGCACAGAGGACCCCCAGGTGGTGGGTGGCCTCCGCCACATTGGTTGGCACATCGCTCTGAGGCATTCATCGAGCATTGTTGGGTTTGCTCCTGGTTAGTGGGCTTGGGTATTCAGGAAGGTGAAATGCCAAGCCTGGCCCTTGCCTTCCTCCTGCAGGTACTCACGGCTACCAAAGTGAGATCCTCTTGCAGTCCGTCGAGAGTCATGCATAAAGAGTCACGCGTGGCCCGTTCTCTGAGGCTCAGGGGCTCACACATCACCTTGCTCTCTCTCCTCGCCTCTACTTACCCCTTACTTGGGACTTACCGGCTCCCAAGAGCTAGAGCCTTTGTGTAAATTCCCGTATCAATGCATGGAGCTGGCATTTGCTAAAAATGTGCACCACACCCTGTGGGGGGGGCCCTTGGGAGTGGCGCCCCCTGGAGTTGTCAGCACACAGCTTGAGCAACTGTAAACAGTGAGTCTGGACTCCTGATCGGTCTTTTCCCTGCAGATGAACACGGTCAATGGACAGTGAGTCCTGAGGTGCATTTCCGGTTAGGTTAGTTGAAACTTTTGTTTGTCTAGCCCTGCCTGTTTATAGTTATAGAAGTTTGGCTTTAGTGAGTGTGCACCGTGTTCCAGAGATGAGGGAGCACGCAGGTCCTCTACGAACACCGACGGCTGTGTATGCATGCACACCCACACACCTGGTCTCGCAAAACCACTTCCCGCTGCAGGCCCACCACACAGAAGGTCCAAGGTGACCCCACAGAGGGTGAGAAGTTAGCAACCAGATGTCCACATCTATGGCCCTCTGGGACTGACGAGCTGATAGCTCAGACACTCTTGACAGCCACTGCATCCTGCTTAAAAACTTTTCCCCAGATTGTATAGAATTTAGCAAGTGTGCGCGCGCACAAATACAGGTAAAACTGGAGCTGTCTGAATAAGATCAGCGGATTGTATCCATCTCGCTGTCTTAGCTGTGTTACTGTGTTATACTTTTGTAAATTGTCACCCCTGGGGGGATCCTGGCAAGGTACCCAGAGGCTCCCTCCAGACCACTTTTTATAGCTACAAGCAAACCCGTCATTACCCCAATCAGAATTTCAATTAAAGAAGCATTTCTCCTCCAAGCCCCACCTGCCAACCTGGCACCACTGGAGATGAGGCCAGGGAAGCCCTTGGGTGGGCTCCTCACTCCTGCAGGTCCCCCTACACTCCTCCACTTTCCCTGGAATGCGCTCCCACCCAAGTTCTGCCCAGTGGAAGACCTGTCTGTCTGGAAGCCCAGCTCCACCATATTGGACTTGGATTGGGCCACACTGGCTGGTGTTGTGGTATCAGCAAAACCGGGGAGGCACCGCAGCACCCCCCTACCCTCAGCCGATGCTCACTGGCAGTCTTTCTCCTCCCTGTGCCGGCTGATCTGTGCCTCTCCCTGCCCGCTGGGTGAGCTCCTTGTCAACTTCAGCATGGACCCATGTAGGGTCCTCTCAACTCCTCCTCCTGCCTCCAGCCTAGTCCTTCTTCAAACCGTCTGGCACAGCCTCCAGAGGAGCCATTGTAAAACCAGAGCTGGTTCCTTTACAGCTGGTCATTCTCCTGCCATAGCATCCACACTCCTGCTCCCCTTGGATGCTACAAAGGCAGGCAGCTGAAAAGGGCTGGCAGGTCCTGGGTGGCCTTGTACTCTCCCACTCACACGGGTTCTCTCAGGGCTGAGTGCCCACATCTACCTCTGGGGTTCTCCTTTGATCAGAGTCTGAGAACAGAAAGGTTGGGTCGCTTGGTGTCGGCTGTATCTCCCACGTTGTCCCCAATCTCTCCGGAGGGGTTGGGGTGAGAGGGACGTTTTTGAGGGACGTGAACTGTACAGGCCCACTTGTGTGTCTGTGACAGCCCCCTCTCCTTCCCCTCTGTGCCCTGTCCTTCATCCTTGTTAGTCACTCTCCTGTCCCTGGGACACACACCTTAAAGGTGTGAGGCTTACTTTGGCTCACGTTTCCAGTGGGTTCAGTTCATGGTTTTCTGCTGCCAAAGGAGAAACGGGAAGACAGAGAGCATGGCGGAGGAAAAGGTATTCAGCTCATGGCAGCCAGGAAGCAAGAGAAAAGACTCTATCCTTTTAGGTCTCACCCCCAGTGACGCACCTCCTACCTGGCCCCGCTTCCTAACAGCACCCAGGGAATCCCTTGTGAGTATAGTGCCCCATGACTCCTTCACCTGCCACAAACACAAGCCTCTGGGGAGGAGTGTTTCAGGTCTAAACGGTTGGGCCCAGCCCCACCATTCGATTGTCATCAAGCTTACACTGCGTCACAGACATTCTCCACTCAGTGCCTCCCGCATCCCTCTTGCCTGGCAAGCTGTTTCTCCTACGATTATGATCTCCAGAAGTCATTTTTACTCTCTGAAATGGTCCTTGATTTCCAAGGCCGACTTAAACATTCCTTCTGCCGTGTTCCTTCTGCCTTGGTATACGTTCCTTCATGCAGTGGTCACTCACAGCTTTGTCATTAGTTTATGTGTCTGCCTCCTGCTTGCCCTGTTAGGAGCTGAGGATTCCATCTTTTCTTTTGGTTTTTTTTTTTTGGGTTTTTTTTGTTTGTTTGTTTTTTTGGTTTTTCTCCGGTACCAGGAACCGAACTCACGACCTTGCGCTTGCCAGGCAGGTGCTTTTGCCGCTGAGCTAAATGCCCAGCCCGGATTCCATCTTTTCAACATGGCTCCCAGATTGAATGTGGTCCCCCCAGGCAAAAATAGCTGTTCCTCAGACTTTGAGTGGCATTTGTGATTTCATCTCTTATCTGTCCCCAGAGTCTGGGGACCCAGTGTGCATGGGATTGATGTCTGTGGGCCACCATGGAAAGATTGTGTTTGCCTCTGACCTTTGTGTGTCGCTGTCTTTCCCAGACGGGGTTGACCGGACCTCCACAATCTAGAAGCTGAGGATGAGAGGGACCGCGCTGGCCGTGAACTCGACTTCAGGGTTGCACAGCATCCTCCAAGATACTTTGCAGCCTTTCCCCCTGGTCCCTCGCCCATTTTGATTTTGTGAGAGTGTAGGTCATCCTTGTAAACATATCAGTAGACCTGGGATTGGTTACGTTGTCATTTGTTTCTGTACGGGATGGTTTGGTGTGTGGGGTGGGGAGGGGTCTCTAGGGAGATGTGGGACTTGGAGGGGGTGGACAGAGGCAAGTGGCTTCCTAGGTGTGAAGTGGGGGGAGGGTACTGCCATGAAAGAGACGAGAGACAGACAGGAAGGAGGCAGAAGTCCCAGCCTGGGGAGCCTGCTCAGAGGACCTGGCTTCACGGTTAGGCCGTAGAAGGAGAGGATACATGTGATCAAAGCAAGATGGCGGCTCATCTGTGTGTCTCCCCTGACTGGATTTCCCTGAGTGCCCTGCTTGAAACAGCTGCACAGGAGGGCCACCTGGCAATAGGGGCAAGAAAGAAGAAATTTCCTCCAGCAAAATTTCAGATAAACTTTGCTTTGTGTATTGTTTACATAAGAATTTTAAAGGGTACATAACGTGTAAAGAGTTTGGGTAGAACTTCTCTTCATACTATGGTTTTTTGTAAAGGATTTATTGTTACAGATTCATTTTTTCCCTCTATTTTTATAATAGCAGCAGGCTTGTCTTTTAAGACAGCTGCCAAGCTCTGCTTCTTGGGAAGACAGATGTCCTCACACAGGCCTGAGCTGTCGCCTGTGTGACATTAGGGAGCGGAGCGTGTGGGTGGACTCGAAGGACAAAGATGGGGCGGAAAGAGTGCAGGACTAGAGGAGGGTACAGGATGGAGGCACCGTGTGAGCCGTCTCAGATCTGCTCACAGGCCACTCAGAGGTTCTGAACAAACCTGCAGCCTCTATCGGGGATGGATTTGCTTCTTATGTAAAGACCCCTCTCTTTCCCACCCTACCATGGGCGTCATCCCAGCATCCGGGCCTCGCTCCGCAACACGGAGGGTGCAAGTTCTGCCGGAGAAGGAAGGACGCTGTGGATGCTTTGGCCTTGCGAGAGGCCTGAGACCTGGAGAATGCGCTCAAAATGTTTGCAGTGGGGTCAGTCATAGGGACCTGAGTCTGGGGGCTGCAGCCCCTTCGCTCAGACCCTGCTGAGGTTGAGGAGGAGAGAAATGCCCAGCAAGTGTCAAGAGGGTCAGCCAGCAAGTGTCAGAGAGCAGTGCAGGGAGATACGGGACCACGAGGTCCAGATCGACCACACCAGGTAGGCAAAGGAGAGCAGGAGCGGGACAGGTGCACTTCAGGACATGCGCCACCGTTCCGTGCAGACCGAGGAAGTCAGATTTGCTGTGTTATTCACCGATGTCCATCCGCGGAGGGGTGAAGAACCCCTCTCATTACATGGTGAGAGATGAGCATACTATAGCACCACAGAGAAATGGCTCAATTTCTCAAGGGCAAGAGAGACTAGGTCGCAGAATTTGATGCAGTGAAGGGTATTGGAGGAGATCAGAGAAGAATGTTTTCTGCACTGGAAAATTGGGTTGTACCAGTGATGGTGGAATGCTCAGTCAGAGGTGCGATCAGGGCGCTGGTATAAGGCCTGCTTATGAAATGGGTGAAATTGGTGCCCTTTTTTTTTTTTTAAGAGAAGTCAAACTCAAAGTTAAAGAGATCAGACCATGGAAATTACTGCACTAGCTTATGGTTATTTTTTTTAAAAAGGTAATGAAGTACACATAGATTTAAAAGGCCTTAAGAACATACAAACAACTTTCTTTTTATCTCTGAGATTAAAATTGTACACCCAGCCCAGCCCTGGATGCTGTGGCAAGATTTCTGACGGCCTTTCATAGTCAGAAAGCACCATAACTGACAGAGCCTTTCGTGGGCAGAGGGAGTGTGAGTGGCTTCCTAGGTGTGAAGTCAGATTTCCAAAATCGCAAGCAGTACAGGTGAAAAAGAAAAGCAAAAGCTTCTGACCTCCCCGCGGGTGACCAAGTCCTGAAGATGGGAATCTGTGTGCAGAAAGAGGCAGCCTTTTTTCAGTTGATTTCTTTTTTTAACCAAGTGCCATTAACATCCATCCCGCCCATTCCTTGTCTACACAGCGTGATGTTAGGAATGCGCAGGGTGGGCGACCACAGGGAAGGCAGAAGAGTAGGGCAAGATGTGGAAGGCCGAAGGTAAGGCCAGAGGGTCTGAGGATGTGTCTTGAGGATGCGGAGAAGGGTAACGAAGAGGAGCGAAAATGATGGTTTTACACGTGAAGACGGGAGAGAGCATTTGGATCTGCGGCAGAACCCGTGTGTCCGTACAGACTCCTTCAGAAAACAGATTGTGAACACAATCACGTTAGCATAAATCCTTTAAAAGGAAGAAGACCTTAAAGTATTTGCAAATCTGAATTTCTATTTATTCCTTCACTGAATATAGAAACAATGGTTATCTGATTATTAGAGATATTATTTTGGATATGTTACTTATTAACTTGCTATGGCTGGTAACCATGATAAAGTCTGTTATTAATAACAACATAATTCTTTTTTTAAAAAAAAGAGAAGAAAAGCTTATTTTTCATTGACTATGTATAGATTTATCTACTTAGTTGTGTTTTGGTATATTAGTGTTTTAGTTGTTTCTTCTTCAGCTGAGCGTTCTGATGAATCCTAGGAGCCTGTCCCTGACCCTGTTTCCGGTCCTGCGTTGACTGCAGGTATACAGCTCAATTTAAAAATCCTAAAGCAAAAAGAATTTTATTTATAAAAGAATCCAACAGTTGCATGCCTAAGGCTGTGAAGTCGGATATTTAGTAATAAAGCGGCAGTGCCTTTTTTTGTATTTACCCATTGACGCCCCCATACAACTGTTTTATATTAAGTACATAGTAAACAGTGTAAAAGTCTCAGAGCAAAATCTATTTCACTACACGGATTTTCTCCCCCCTTGTTCTGATTTAAGCAGTGTGTGCTGGCATCTCTACGCTGTCCCAGGGACAGCGCTGTATCCGATATTGTTACCATGTATGTTTTATTGGTGCTTTTTATTCATAGTGGTTTCTTACCAGACACAGTAGGAAGAAACACATGCACTGTGTACAAGACATGAAACATGCTGCTGATATGTTTTTTCCACTTGCTTCTTGAGTTTGACTTTTTCAGTGAGAGCCAGTGAGCCGAGTAGACCCCTGCTGGGTCTTCTGCCTGCCAAGGGGGAGCTATTGGCACCCAACTCCCAAATCCTAGGGGTTGAGGTGCCCTCCTTGGTACTTGGGATCGGAGCTGCAGCGGGGCCCACCTCCCATTGTTTTGAAGTGACACTGAGGGAAACCAGGTTTTCTTTTGAGGTGTCACTGGCTGCCTTTTACCCATGGGAGTCTCCTCTCCAGGCCTTGGTTCTGCACTCTTGTGGCTACAGCAGGTACAAGGTTTGCAGACGCCCTTCCCCAGAAGCTCGGCTGAGGGCTGAGCTCTGCTCCGAGGGGGGCCTGCCGCAGAGGCAGCAAGCAGGGACGTGCAGGCCCCTTGTGCTGGCCCTGGGGTGTGTGTCGTGTCTGCTACAGCCAGGGTGTGGGGAAGCAGCCTCTCGGAGACACCCACTCGGTACCCCATCACAAGCACCGCTCACGGGAGGCTCATTTGCACATGAGCTGTGATAACACGAATGTTGTGTTCTCTTTCTCTCTTTTTTACAAGTCATCAGAGATGTTTGCAAAGTGAGTTTTATTTTTGTGTAATCCCTTTATCTTTACTTAAAGGTGAATGTGTATTCCTCTGGGAGGAATAGGAAGAAAACAGGAATGTTAATAATGTCAAACAGAAGACTTCCTCCCTTATTAATATATAACCCTCATGTATTTATGCCTAATGTAAGCTGACTTTTAAAAAGCTTTCTTTTGTTGCATGCCCCGTGCAGGCATCTGTATTGTATATGCATGCATTTCGTCCTGTTTTCCTGTATAAAGTTAGTGAACAAAGAACTATTTTTGCCTAGTTCATGTTGCCAAGCAATGCATATTTTTCAAATTTGTCATATATGGAAAGAGCATGTTTGTTACATGTAAAAGCTTTACTGATACACAGATATACTAATGTTTGAAGATGCTATTCTTTGCAAGTGTACAGTTTTCAGATGTTACCAGTGAAACGCCCTTGCGGTTTAAACTTGCTACAGTGTATTTATTACTCATTTCCTCCCATGTAACTAAGAATCATGGCTCTATTTCATATCAACGTTATATTGAAAGTGAAGGGAAATGATTAATACAAGGTTTTGTAACACTGGTGTGTGTCTTTTTTTTTGGTCAGTATAATCAATTAGTAAGCAAGGACTGAGTCTTAGAAATAAGCCAGCAAGGAAGCGGAAGCATGAAATCTGTTAATGTTCTCACTTGACCCTGCTACACAGACTCTGTCTTCCTTAACAGGTGAGGAGAGGGGTATAGAAATTTAGGCAGTTTGATCTGTGTGCAGAAGAGCTAATAAATGTTGCTGCCCGAGTTAGGGACAAGTCTCTAAGTACAAAGTCTGTAACTTTGCAGTTACTCTTGTACACAGCACCCTTCCCTCTTTGCTGCCTTTGAAATGTGTCACACCACCGTGCTATATGGAAACAGCGGCCCCCTTGGACTCTTACCGCCAAGTGGCTTGGAATATCGTTCAAACAATTCTAATTCTAGTTTGCTATAGAATATATACTGAGAACAGCTGGGTTTTGGTTCTGGCTTTAGCACGGTCTAGCTGTGTGATCTTCAAGGAGTTACTTAGCCACATTACTCACTTTTCCATCACTCTGACAGAATACCTGAAATGTACAACTTAAAGGAATGTTTTTTTGGGGCTTAAGGGTTCAAAGGTTTCAGTACATGGTCAGCCGGCTCAAAGTAGAGATATGGTAGAAGGGTGTGACAGAGGACAGCAAGGAAGTGTCCAAGAGGAAGTCACCAGGGACAAAATATATCCTTCAAAGTCACACTTACAGTGACTGGTGTCATCCAATTAGGCCCCACCTCCTAATAAACTCATTCAGCTAATAAAGTCATCCATGGGCTGATCCACTTGATGAAGTTGGTGACCTCCCAGCCCGTCCAACTCTGGAGGCGTTTCTGTCCGATCAAGTTGACACTCAG